AGTGAGGGAGAAGGGAAATGTACAGGGCAGCACAGACAGCACCTGTAGAGGGTTGGTGCTGGACCAACTGAGCCATCTTCAAGTTCACAAGAGCTTCTTGTGAAGGGAAGTTGGGGTGGAGGGGGTAGGATGTGTGGTGAGGTGAGAAGCACTGGGTGTCAGCCTGGGGGCATTGCCCTGCTGTCTTGGACGGATTTGTTTTTACCCACGTAATGACTGTTTCTGATATTTGTCATTCCCCCTAGAAACTCAAGTTCCCCTCTGTTACCATGTTTCTCCAACATGAACTTCTTGTGGTATTTATTGAAGTACAGTTCCCCTCTGTTACCATGTTTCTCCAACATGAACTTCTTGTGGTATTTATTGAAGTACAGATCTATAGGCGACACCTCTGTTTTCTTTTATGTAAGAATCTCTTGATTAAATGCTATTTTTTGGTGAGTATGGAATTCTGGGTTGGCTTTTTTCTTTTATTATTTTAAAGACATCATTCCACTATGTCCTTCATAGTTTATTGTGAGAAGTCTGTTGTTATTCAACTCACAGCTCATTTTGTCTAGCTGCTTTTAAGATACTCTTTTCCCTTGGCTTTTCTATGTTGATGCTGTGTCTAGGTGTGGTTTTGATCATGTTTATTCAATTGAGTGTTTTCTGAGCATCTTGAATTAGTAAATTTATAAAAATTAATATCATGGGGCTGGCCAGATGGCTCAGTGGTCTAAAGCACCTACTTAGAACAAGCTTAGCAAAGCACAGGGACCGTGGTTCAATCCCCAGCACCACATGCCAGCCAGCCCCGCCCCCTGGTGGGCTGAGCTGGGCCCCCCCCACAATAAATAAATAAATAAACTTTTAAAAAAATTAATATCAAATTTGGCAGAGCTAAATCTTTTTTTAAATTTTTTTTTCATTTATTTATTTAGTGTGTTAGTGTGTGTGTGTGTGTGTGTGTGTGTGTGTGGCCAGCTCAGCCCACCAGGGGGCGGGGCTGGCTGGCATGTGGTGCTGGGGGATCGAACTACGGTCCCTGTGCTTTCCCAAGCTTGTTCCAAGTAGGTGCTTTAGACCACTGAGCCATCTGGCCAGCCCCAAAATTTTTATTTTATGTATTTATTTATTTTTTATTTATATTTTTTCCTTCGGAACTGGGGATTGAACTCAGGCCCTTGCGTTTGCCAGGGAAGCGCTTATTCCACTCAGTCGTCTCCCCGGCCCCTCTAAATCTTCTTTAGATAAAAATTGCTTTCCTCTCTCCTTTCTTTTGGAGACTCCAATTATATGTATTTTATACCTTTTGATATTGTTCCAAAGCTGCTTCAAGCTGTTTTGTAATTTCTCTTGACCTGTGTGTCTCCAACTTCACTGGTCTCCTTCTGTCATCTCCATTCTACTATAATGTAATTCTTAAGTAATTTTTAAATTTCAGTTATCAGTTCTAGAATATCCATGTAATTTTTCTATGCTGGCGTTGAGAACTTGCTGTTTTATAATTCCTTACAAGTATATTTTTCTTTATCTCTTTGAATAAATTAGCTGTCTTAAAGTCCTGAAAGTGGTAATACCATGTCACATCAGTCAGGGTTGCTCTCCATTGCTTTGACAATCAGTTGCTGCTCCCTGGCTGTGCACCTGTTGAGCAATTTTGGAATTGTAGGTGAATACTACAACTGTTATATTATGAGATCTCTGAATTATGATGAGCTTCTTTGAAGATATCCCATTGTTGTTGTAATAGGCACAGTATTTAGTTAGACTTAAACACATGTCTCATTGGCAGTGGGTAGCAGCTCAGGCAGTTTCTTTATTATTTACCCTGCTTGTGTGTGGTCTAGGGATCAGTCAGAGATGTGAGTGGCTCAAATGTACTCAGGGCTCTCCTGACTGTCCCTCTGGGATTTTCTGTATGTGCTCCCATGACCATGGCCATCCTACACTGTGCCTATGGGTTCTGTAGCCAGGCAGGTGGTAGACTTCAGCTGTGACTGTGGCCCACCTTCAAGCCAGAGCTGGGAATTGGAAACTCATCCTATACTGCTTCTTTAAGTTTGGGCTTGTCTGGATCGAGAAGGCTGAAGGCGTAAATTCATGTGTGAGGTCCCCAGAGAAAACACACAGAGACAGATATCATCAATACAGCAATAGCAGGGAGCAACCAGAGGAAGGGCTCAGGAGCAGCTTGCATCTTTATTGGGTAATGTACATAGATTATTTCAATGTTTACACTCTTACATAGTGCTGTAACCAGCTCATACATGTTTACCTGGTCTAAGTCATGGTTACATAACTATATCCCACCATGTGAGTGTGCTAGACAGTGGAGTCATGCCCTCAGGTATCCTTAGACACCCCTGAGCTTTAAGGCAGTCTGAGTGGGGCTCCTGCTTTTGTTCACTTCTCTGAGCCTTTGGGTAGTTGTATTGTTTTCAAGCTTATAGTCCTCTGTGGGAAGGTCAGCCTGTTAGGGGCTGGCTCAGCTGTGCTGAAAATGTAACCAGCTGTAGTTTTTACTCTGCAAGTAGGAATGCTCAGCCCAGCCTCTGTGGAAGCCTGGCAGGAGAGGGGAGACCAGTGGGTGGTTATGAGCCAGATTTTTTTTTTTAAATTTATGTGTGTGTGTGTGTGTGTGTGTGTGTGTGTGTGTGTGTGGCCAGCTCAGCCCACCAGGGGGCAGGGCTGGCTGGCATGTGGTGCTGGGGGATTGAACCGTGGTCCCTGTGCTTTGCTAAGCTTGTTTTGTTCTAAGTAGGTGCTTTAGACCACTGAGCCATCTCACCAGCCCCTATGAGCCAGATTTGACCTGCTAAAAATGTTGGTCACATTGTGAAAGGGTCATTACAATGAAAGAATGCTATGGCATTCTGACACAGGATGTAGGCATAGATGAGCACTGGAGGAAACACCAATGTCTCCATGACGGGGTGTGAAAGGAAGCAGAAATTTTCCCAGAGGACCAGTGACTGCTGTGGTTTCAGAAGTGCAATTTGGCTCTGTTACTATGACATGGGTCCTGATCTGGGCAAGAGATTGGGGTTGACAGGTAGGATGTGACAGGCTTGTTAATGACCTCTGCTCTGGGTTTGTAGAGCACCCACTTTTGGGGCACTGAGAGGACAAGGAGAAACCACACAGGCAGCAGGGTGATAAATAACAGCAGCACTATGTTGGCTCCATGCATGTTTATCTCATGGACTATGATCGGAGCCCTCACGGAAGGAGTCTATTCTGGTCCCCACCCACACCAGGGGTGCTGACAGCCTTCCCTGCGATGCCCCACTGGGTAGTGGCGGTGCCAGCTCTCCAGCTCTGCCCTGCCGAGCAGCCTGAGCTCTTGGCCACAGCTCCACGCTGCGCCATGAGCGGAATGGGGAGGGCAGTGCTGCCTGGACATGAGACTGAGGGGCGAGATGGAAGATGTCACACACCAGTCCACATCTTTGGGGTGGAGAGCACACAAGCACCCACACTGCAGA